CGACTTTGAGAAAGTCTAATCCCACGGGAAAAAAATCCTGTTAAATGAAACGCTGCCAAATATTTATACCGCTAGTCAAATTATTTAAATTCTCGTGGACCCTTGAATTCTTATGGACTGCTGAGCTGCTTTGGTTTTGAGTTTGCGACACTCGAACAAACGCGCTTTTAAAGGAAATGAATTGGGGCCTAAATAGACGAAAATAAACCAGCTCTTGACAGGCTGAGTGTGTTGAAACGTAAGTCACCTAACCGTGTTCAAATGATCTAACTTGTGTAATATTCCACTGCATCATTAAAAATGATGAAAAAAAAAGAACAGATTGTACAAAAAAATGTCCCAATCTTATGGTATATTTTGTATATGAATATAATCTAGCACCCTTGAGATCAAAATTTTCGTAAATCATTTTTTTTTTCATTTTCGTGCTCAGCGTGTCTTCCTCACCTACCCTGCCAAATTTCAATCTAGTCCGAGAGCTAGAAGTATCTTCTTTTGGGCCGTTAAATTCGAGATTTCGTGTCCGCCATTAGTTGACCATGTTCCGGAAGTTGATCGCAGGACTTGGGGGAAGTGATGTCAAAGGCTCAACGCGAAAAACTCACATGGCTAAAGGACGCTAGAGTATGCACAGGGAACCCACACAAGCGGCGTGTCTGGTCGTTTGTTCGAAATATGAAGAAATGTATGGGAGAATATTGAAGAGTCGTAATATCGTAAACTTATATCAAGGAATGTCTATGTTAAGGCTCAAAATAAATGTAAACCTAGCTTACTTTCTGTCTATTGTCGCTTCTGTGGTTCTAAATGGCGAATTTGAGCGATTTGGTAGATTTTGCGTTGACTGTTACTTTACTGTATAAGAAGAAAATTTGATTTCCGAAGAATACAATGAGGATAGAACTGTGTAAATTTGCATAGAAAGAAAATTTGGGCTATTACAAGTTTCGGTAAACTTGAATCTATTTCCTTACCTTTCTCGTCTCTACTTTTAAGGGAAATGCGCAAGAGGCACACGTATGTTACGGTTGGAAGTTGGGGGGGGGTTAAAGGAGACTCTCCCCCCCTCTTTTTCTTCCCATCGGCTCCTTCGTCACCGCGTATGCGAAGACTTTACAACTGAAAATGTAATAAAGAATGATATCCTCAACATAGAGTAATCTGATCCTGGAGCTTGAGGAAACAAAACGTCCGTCTGGCTGAATGCACTAAGACAGATTGCTTCGGTTTTTTTCCCTCGTAGCTCTCCTGCTGCTCTTAGCTGCTGTCCATGAAAATTCTCCCCAGGCACAGTATACCTCGCGTTCCGACGTGGACGAAGGGCCCTTGGGTGGAAATTGCCTTTTTTAAGATGGCGGTGGGAGCCGAACTTACCGGCGCTACTCTACATCTTTCCGATGTGGAGAAAAATCCCAAAGAAGTCTCTGAACGCGGAAAAGAAGCTACAAAGCAGCAGCCGGGAACCTCAAGGATCGAAATATGCTGTAAAACCTTGGCTTTTATAATTGTGTTTTGTTTGATCTGCGTTCATTTCGCGCGTGTTCAGCGAGAAGGTAAGTAAACACTATAATTAGGAATTTTACTCCGAGCAGGTTGTGGTCACAAAGTTCATAAGACAATAATATATCGAAACTGGATATTTTTTCAGATATTTTCGTAACGGGTTTTAGTAAGATTTCCTCTTTACTTACCCTTGTTTGCTGTTGAAATCACTTCGTGACACGTGTTAACTGCACAAAAACAAAACATGTTTTGTGCTAAATATTAAATCACAGTATTTTTACAGCTGGCATTCTGCGGGAAGAAAAATTACTAAACACCTGGTGTGTTTGTATTTCTCCTTTTGTTAAATCCTTTCGTTTATATCGTTTCGTTCATATTTACTTTATGTAAAGACATACAAATCAAAACGAATTTGTTTACGAAAGGATTTTTACTTATTAAAGGTTTCACCTACGTTCGTATTCATATTTCAAGGAAAGCCATGAGTCTTTAAAGCCAGAGAAAGTGAAATAAATCAATCCAAAATCCCCTACTTTCAAAGTTTATCAAGATATCTAATTCCTTGGCAGGATTAATCGTGCATAGTAGCTTGTCTAGAGAGAGAGAAAGAGAAAACGTCATGATTCAGAGCGAAGTTCTAAGCTTAGTTTTGAGCTGATATTTAACCCTTTAGGCCCTAATATCGGTATGGATATTTTCCATATATTCCCGAAGATACTCCAAGATTTGGGAGTCAAACGATCTTGAAGAAATGCCAACAAGGAAATTAATGCAATTACGCTAAGATACTTTTAAAATTCTGAAAGCTGTCTAAGGTGAATTCAAACAAAATAAAATTAAAATATCTAATATTAAATTCCTTTGTTTACACTACTGCTTCTGTATCATAACTGTGCAGATGAATTTTTATATGCACATTCATGCCTTGTTAGCTGCATTGTATTTGTGAAACATGTGTAACTAATTTAGAACTCTTGTAAGTGATTGACATATAACTTCTCCCTTTAACATCCATTCATTATCAAGCAAACAGGTAATGAGAATACTTGCATGTCAATCTATCTTACACTAAATTCTAGTAACTAACTTACAAGGAAATGTGTAGCAGCCAGAGAGAATGGTATGGGGAATATGCTTACTGATATAAAGGTGTAAAGGGCTAACGAAACCCATATGTTGCTATCACTATTAAATTAATTTTTTGTGCAACAGGCTCCAGTACCTGTCCTGCTATGTTTCAGTCTGGTCGCTGGAGAAGTAGCTTTTGGCAACCTCACGGTTGTATGATGCATTTTTATACTTCAAGGTATGTTAGCAAGTTTACTGAAGTCATGATAGCTTGAAATATATGTAATATTTACACATTATTTTGACTGTTGTTGACAAGCACAATGTTCTTCATAAATCAGTTTGATGGTGGAGAGGATAAACCTTGCAGAAAAAGCATAGTGTTGATGTACATGTTGTAGTTCAATTTTATCCTTGGTTCAAATTTTATTTTCCTTTGTTTCAAACTCATTATCATACATTAACATGACCGAGAACAAAGGAAAATAAAATTTGAACCAAGGATAAAATTGAACTACAACATACACACTTGAATCATTCTTTTTGTTTAACAACTAGACAGCTCATACTTGCTTCTGCATACACTTCAGTTTGAAATCTTAACCCAGAATCGTGCTTATTCTTGTACTTCCTACTGTTTCCTTAAATATAGTTGAAATGTAATTATATAATTATTTTTATAATTTGGTTAATGAGTAATAAACCATAGACTTTATGACATACTTTACTTGCAATGCATTATGAACCCTATTACAACACATTACCCAGGGCTCAACACTAACTTTTCAAGTTACCGTAGTTATTCGACTATAAGCTGACCTTCGCTATAAGCCGAGACCCTAAACTCGTGAGACATGATAGTCGGTGAAAGCTTTACGAAAAAAATCGGGAAAATATCGGCTATAAGCCGAGACCACATTCGGAGAATTCTATTCTCGAACAAACTGAAATGATCGCAAAATTTTCGAAACAGAAAAGAGTTTCAATGCAGTATTGCCGTTGAAAACACATTCCGAGATAACCAGAGAGTACAGTCATCAGTGACATCAGTGAGTCGCTAGAGGAAAGATCAAGGGAATCTCTTTAATGGAGGGCTCGAGATGTCAGCGAAACGCACAAAGATGGGCTGTTACACTCAGAAATATCCGCGGTTGAATGAAAGATTACTTGATTAGTTTACAGAGCAGAGAAGCCAAGATTAGTTTTCTTTTTACGTGATTGCAAATTTCAACACCGTAACATGTGACGATCGACGAGTTTGTTTACCAATTGTGGGAATGGGCAATTCTGATTGGTCAGTTTCAAAATTTTTAAAACACTTTCGCAAGCTGTGTACACTCGTTCAAAACCTGCAGAATCTCTGATACTCTAGACGGCATGGAAGATGAACCAACCTATTCGGAATAAATGACAGAACTAGCGGATGAGGAGGAAATGGACAACGAATTCCACGCGGACACTGAGGACGAACAATAAGCCGTATTTACTACGCGCCAAAAACAACAAACTGCTCCTTTGGAAGCAACCACACATTTAAAGTCAATGACCAACTTGAACTTGTTTTGTTACTTAGTTCTGCATGCAATATCTCGGCCTATAGACGAATATATCTATGTTTCCTTTGAATTTGCTATTTCGAAAAAATTGTGTTTTGAAAAACACTTGGCTATAAGCCGAGAACCCTTCTCCGGCTCAAATTTTCGAGATTTTTGGTAAAGTTTTGTGAAAAAATCACTGGGCTTATAGTTGAATAACTATGGTACTAGCCAAGTGGCTAGTGACATCTCAGATGTTACGACAATTTTAGTTTTTAGTTTGTTAACTAGCCAAACTGGCTAGTAGAAATCAAAAACCACTGGTCAAAACTGAATTTCTACCAGTCTGTGGCAAGTGGGCTACTGCTAGTGTCAAGCCTTGATTACCTACGTACAATACATTACTTATGATACCAGGGCTGTCACTAATTTTTCAAGTAGGTGGGGAAATGAAAAAAGTAGCCGGTGGACAAACATGTTCTGGTGTGACCGTCAATAAGAAAAGGTGGGGCAGGGGGATAAAGCTTTTGGGAAACAACACAAAATTTTCAAAATACATCTTTATTTTAATGCAACTTTTACATGGAGTAAATTTAATGCTACATCTGCCCCCTTTCTCTATAGGACTGGGAAGACTCTGACAAGTTTCCAAGAGTCATTTTCCATTCTTATGCTTTTATCATGACAAAATAGGGTTGCAGCAAATTTAAACTTAACTCCTTAAAATTAATAACTCTGAGCTACTGTACTTCACTTTCACAAGAAAATTCTGAAATGTCTTGCTTAGCAGTTAGTGAGTACAAAAACCACATAGTTCTAAACGCCAATACATTTTTGATTGTATGTGTCTATAAATGCTGCGTGCAAAAATTGACAATAACTTAGCTTTACTGTAGATTCTACATGGGATGATTTCACTGTCAGTCACTCATAAAACTAGTCGTCTTAAAGCCTTCATCATCAAATTCATCAACCTCATCAGGGACATCAGGAAGATCACAAGCTTTATAAAAAGCCTCCACTTCTTCTCTCACACAGTCAGTGCCTTGCATCTCTTATGACAGCCCTTCTAATGAATCCGTTGGCACCCCAGCTTCCACAAAAACATGCAGCTGTGATTCGCTTTGGAGATCAGCTGTGTCTTGTCTTGCTCTTGGTAGGCTCCTTCTGTTCTTGGCAGAGCTCCAAGCCTTCACTGACCTCTCAATAAGACCTTTTGAATCATTTGTTCCATTAGCTGGCCCATTGATGGAAACTTGTAGCAAAAATTGCAGCATGTCATTTTTTAAGGTTGATGGAAACCTTGTTTTGACACTTTTCACACAACTGGCACCCCTCACTGGCCAAGCATTTGATACAGGAGTTGATAGCATTATGTCGGCCGTGTTACTGATGTTGGGTTAAAAGTGGCAAAGGCTGCAAATCTGCTGCAGACACCATTCAGTAGCTGTTGCTTTACATGGAGACACAGAGGGATTGCATTTTTCTGGAAGATCTTGTTTCCATGTGAGCTTGTCATACTTCAGTTTTGCAAACTCTGTTTTGATTTCCTCTTGAACAGACTCCTTCTGATTAGCAGGCATGGAACTTGTGAGTTGCTCAGCTATTGTTTGGACTTGAGATTTACCATACATCTTAAAACCCAGGGTGATCCTTGTTTGGGACTTTCAATGGGTCAAATACTGACCGAGCAGATACCACGGCAGACTTTTTTCAAACCTCCTATCAATGTTGGTCTTTAGAGCTTCTACTTAGTTGTACAGAAGATTCTCTAAGCCCGGATACTGGTACTCTGAGGCATTCATGTTGAGCAACCACAACCTTCCATGGTCTTGAAGATCTGCTTTCAGCCTATTGATGGGGGACATTGTTTCCACTACTTCATCAAGCTGCCCTTTGGTGTATACTCAATAGTTGGCGCGATTCGTGAAAAATCCACAACTCCCTTTTGAAAAGCCTTACTCGTGGTTAAGAGATGTGGCAATACTTCTGAAAGAATGTACACTTCCGATGAACTTCACATCCTTCACCTTTGTAAACAGACCCAGAGAGGTTGCACCGTCATCCTTTAAATGGTTCAAGGTATGAGAGATACGCGTGTTGTTTATTTTGGGATTTGGAAAAATTATACCCACCCTTACATAAAACAGCCGAAGTGAGTCGTGACTATTTTGCTTGACAAAAAAAGAGATGTTGAGTAAGACTGGGAAGCAGTGAAAGTAGCTCGTGATGCTCGTGATCAAGAGGCAAGAGCAAAAAAAAACATGGTGGCAAGAACGTGTCAAGAACGTAACACATTTTCCCTCGAACCAACCTTGAGTAAATAACACAAGGTAACTCTCTGCTCTGATGTAGAGCATATGGGCGAATCAAATTTCTTTCCAACAGAGCAATAACTGGAATGTATACAAGCCCTGTATGACTGATACATATTTTTTGCATAACAAGTAAACAAGCGAAAGGAAGACCCAATTAACATTGCAAGTTTATAGTTAACAAATCGCTGAGTTTTCTGTGCATTTATTTTTAAAGTTCAACAATGGCAATTCCACGTGTGACAACTACTTGGCCACATCTTTTGCTTTTAAACTCACTTAGGCATCACCTCAGTGGTCGATTTGAAAGAGTATTGTTGAAGCCTAAATGGTGATTTGTTCAGTTTAACGTCATCATACCTTGAAGCGGAGCCAGAAGAGAAGGTGGAATCCAGCTTTCCTTGTTTGTCTACTTATGCCTTCTGATTCTTTAATGACTTAGTCGTGCAGAACCAGAAACTCCGAAAACAAGAGAATCTGACTGAAACAAACACTTGGTAAAAAGCGCGCGCTTACAGGAAGATGACATTGTTGAATAGTATGCATTTTCATTCAACCTCACGGTGATTTTAAAGTTACTTCACTTTAAAAGGTTGAAGAGAGTTTGTGTAATAAACTATTGGTTTGTGTTTTAATTCAAAATTTTGTCATTTTTTGTATTTTTTACTTTGTAATGTTTTGGTTTTTTATCAAAGTAGCTGGGGCTCAGACTTGCAGTAGCTGGGGGAAATCCCCGGTCCCCGGCCCTTAATGACAGCCCTGTGATACACTTCTGACAATGAGCTGCGACAATGACATCCTACAGTCATTATTCCGTTTACAATGCTAACATTCGTGGAATAATATATTGATTATTTAGTAACATCAAGCTCATTATTAAGCTCATTATTTTTAACATGTTTCAAAAGTTGCTAGGCATAATTACAAAAGAGATATTCTTGCACACCAGCCATGAGACTCACAGGGCTGGTTGTTTCACTGGAATTTAGCAGTTGTTTAACAAAACTGTGCTCTTAACTATCTTGAATTTAGCTGAATCTTTTATCTAAACATTTATTTTGTTAAGAGGGCCGAAAGCTGGTGGTGAAAGGACATTTATTTAATCAAATCAACCCACTCATAGAGAAACATAAGGCTCACTGCTTGCATAAAACCTTGGTTTGGTTTAGACCTTGTGTAAATAACCAGACCACAGTGTTCTTTTTTCAGGCAGTAACTGGTAAAATTTACTGAACCAATTACCTCTGATTACTTGCTGAAATTGCTTGGAATTTCTTGAAAATTTCACAGGTTTAAGGACTGCTTTGCTGGTTTGAACACTTCTTTCCTGTAATTTCCGGCCGTTTACCCGGTGATAATCTGTTTATTTTGCCTTAAACACGCGCCCCTGCAGGTAATAGGGAGGTGTGGGCTATGTGACAATTTTGAAATCTACTGGCAGTTAAATTAAAAAAAAATTCTCATCTACCTGCATTTCCACCTCTCAAATGAATTTTATTGTATTAAGAGTGCCACAAAGTGGCACGAAAACATAATGCCAACTTGAGTTTATTTCATGCACAATTAGTTGCACGATGAACAAATCTTTATCGGCACACGTGTAAACAAAACCTTGATGGTGACAAAAATAATCCAAGGGTATCGGGCGCATCAGTAACAAATTTCCAGTTAACAGTAGCTTGAGCTGAAGAGAATTTTCCTGTTTTAAGGGACTTGTTACGCTCAGTAGAACCAGAGATATTGATTTTTTTGAGAAATCAACAATTCAACATGGTGTTGAACAATCGCTCGCACAAAATGTGGCCATGAATTTGCATTCTGTCCAATGTGAAACATTGTGAATTCTAGAGCCTTTTTGTACAAATTTTCTTTGCTTTTAAGGTGTGGGTTATTCACCAGTGCGGGTAATCTGTTGACTCTTTTTTTTCGCCGTATGCAATAATTGGCTGGTGCGGGTAATTGGCCATGCGGGTAAACGGCCGGAAATTACCGCACCTGTCATGCTTGAAACAAGGGAGAACATTGCCTCACAAAACCTTAGTTTTTTTTCTCAGACAGATTTCATTGCTTGCTTCTCAAAGATGATAAAGTAGTTTTTTAACAAAAATATGGTTTTGCTCTTGCAGTGAGGTGAGGACTTGTTTACAGAATCATCCAGTGGCTTTCATTGGTGATTCAAGAACAAGAGGGTTGTACTACCAACTGGTGGAAATGGTCAGCTTAAATGCAGTGGAAGATCCAGGAAAAGCAGTAAGGCTATTTGACATGGAAGTTTCCATTAGCAATTTTAAAATCAGTGATATAAGCAAGAATTATCTTAAGAAATTGTAGTAGATGTATGATTTAAACTGAGTTGGTGGCCAAAATTACATGCAGTAAGAATGTGCAATGCAATACTATGGAACTACCTTAACCCACCAGCATTCATTCACAGTTCCTGGAAAGTTTGCCATTAGCCAATAGGGACCTTAAGCAAACCATGATGGCGACGGCAACAAGGACATGGAAAAACAAAAGACCTAATTGGCAGAATGATAGCTCAGCATATGTGTTTTAAAACTTTGTACATTTCTTAGCCATCCTTTGCAAAACAACAATGTGAAATCACCAAAATTTGTGTCTTCTGTGAACCATAGCCACAACTGCAAATGATTTGAATTTCCATTTGGAACTCAATGCTACTTTTATGGGTTATGTAGAGGTTGAAGTGTGGTGCCTTAGGAGATGGTAAACATATGCAGCCATTTTTGAAATTGTAATGAAAAGTAGAAATTCATTTTTTAATTGATGTCTTCCTTGGTGTTGCCGTCCTGACTGCTTAAGGTCCCTTTATATCCCTGCGTTGAGAGAGCTGTTGTGAGTGTTTTGTCTTTCCCAGGAATCCAATGAAATGACTGTGCCCTGAGTCCCAAACCAGGGGCCCCTTTCTTTAAAGTCCTGGCAACTTGATGCGTCCGTGAAGCTGTCCTGTTTTCATTCAAGATGGGGATTTCAAAGGTTTTGAAAATGGTACCATAAAGCTATCAGCTAAAGAAGAAAAAGGAATGGTTTGGGTGCCAAAACCATTAAGTTACTGGAACTTTTGAGAAACTAACCCCTGAAACCTCTAGACCCAGCATCTGGAAAGTGTTTGAATAAAACTTGATGAGGGTTGCATATAGCTTTGTGCATTTTTCATAACTATTGTTTGTATGATTGCACAATTTATTACTGTATAATTTTGTTGTGTGATTTTATTTTGACAGCACAATGATCTGTCTTACGTTGACAAGCTGAGGAATACAAGTGTGGTACGTTTTAATAGACAAGATGTTTTTAAATGATCTAAGAGAAAAGTGATCATTATTTTGTATTCAAGCACATCTTTGATATATCCAAATTTCACAAACAGGAAGGAGAAAATTGTAGATTATGCTGAACAACCTAATTATCAGATCGCATTTCTGTTTTGTTGGAGAAAAATGGAAGCTTGGCCAGACATGCGCAATGACCTGTCAAGAGACAGGGCTCAACACTAATGGTAGCCCACTAGCCACAGACTAGTAGAAATTCAGTTTTTGGCTAGTGGTTTTTGATTTC